TGAGTTTGAGCTAGAGTTCTCTAATCTGGGAAAGATCCTGACAAAATTGTCGGGATCCACCTACCCACCTGATTGACAGCTGGTTTTGCCTTTCTACGAGAGGCAGAGCCAGCTTTGCTCACCCTCTCCCTCGTCTGTCTTAGTCAGCATTGAGGGAAAGGAGAGAGGTTGGAATCCCTGTGGGGAGCAATGACTGCAGTCACCGCTCTCTGCAGGGAGAAAATTGGGAAGTGAGTGGTATGTGATCGCTCAGTTCTCGATCTATGGAGTCAACGTGTGACACCTGCAGTGTCATACATCGGCTCTGATTAAGGGGATGAGTGTATTTCACTCTCCCCATAAATCTCCTCTGAGCTTGAAAAATAAAAGCAAATTTTCAGTAATTTCCATTGAAGTCTATGGTAGGTCAAAATACTCCATTCTACTTAAAACGTAGCTCATTAACCTTTTTGAGTTTCAGGGGTCAAGCTACAGGTGCTTGAGTGCTCATATGTGAACAGGTACAATTTAAAAGCATGGGATTTTGGTTGTTGACCATTTGAGCGTTGAGCTTCAAGCTACAAAACACTTGGATCAAAAGGTATAAAAATGAATATGGAATTCAGGAGCCACTCTGTCCAATCCAGATGCCAGCAGGATTTGCTTAGGAGCCAACTCTATTAACAACTAGAGGAAGCTGTCAACTGTCATTTTTAAAGGCGCATTGGCTACCTGGCTCCTAGGATTTGACCAGAGTTGATATGGTGCGATTCAGGGCTAAAATGAAGAGGACTCTTCTGGTGCTACCTTAACTATTAACAAAAACATATCTTATGGTGTATCACTCAGCTGTAGATCCTCAAATCATCTCTGAATTGGAGCTGACACTGTACTTCCTTCTGGAGGGTCGTTACTTTTGCTCCCCATGAGTTGTGAAGTAGCCACCGCTCCAAGCTCATGGAGGACCATGGACCAAGCACCATGGGGAACAAAAGTAACCACCCTCCAGAAGGAAGGAAAGTGCCAACATGAATTCAGAGATGATTTGAGGATCTACAGCCGAGTGATACACAAATAAGATATTTTTGTTAGGTTAAAAAGGTGCTTGAATGTATTTTTAAGATTTAACTTCTGAGTTTATTGTCAGGCAGACATGGGATCTTATGCTGAACTGGATAAAAGAGAAGCATACTATGGGAGAGCATTTCCCTACTTACCACTCCATGGATGAGCAAGGGTACCAATTTCCAGACTGGAGTGAACATCTGAAAAGCAGACTTTCCAAGCACACTAGACAGTCCACGTATATTATAAAAAAGGTATTACTCCATGTCTGTGTTAAAGCAACATAATATTTCAGTGTTTCGCCTGCAGTAAGATGTTTTTAGGCTGCGTGGTAGACATTTTTATATTAACATTTAGGCAATGTCACTACCTCTGTAGCTACTAGAATCAACCATCTTCAGTTACCATATATAGGAAGAGACAGGGAGGAGGAGAATGTTTTGAAATTATGGCAGAAAAAGGAAGCAGGAGGAACATTCAAAGCAGACCTCCCACTCCATAACAAACCAACGACTGCCACTTAGAACCGAGTAAAACTTGCAAAATGTTTCATACTGCATCCAGAAAACACTGCAGTAGAGCAATGAAGGCATAAAGGAAATGCACATTCACATGGCTGGAGTAAGTCATTTCCATAGCTGCATGGGTAGACATTAAAGGTGTCGTCCCCCCCACCATTGCTGCTGTGGGCACCTTATTTGATGCCTCTTGATCTGATCATCTTCATTCCACTGGTTTCCGACACTCCCTCCAGCGCTGGTGTCAGTCTCTGACTCAGCGCAAACTGCTCAGGTGGTCCGTGCCAGACACTCTATCCTCACTGCAACTCACCATTTCCCATGGCCATTTCACCCATCATACAGCAGTGAAGTGGCCAAGACGTTTTACTAGTAGGAGGGCAGAGCCTGATGGGGAAGCTGAGGGACTAGTTCCCCTGGTGATTGACAGCAGGTAGTGGCCGGATTCCATAGCCAATAGACGGCCTGCTATTAGTTATGGAATCAGGTCACTGTCTGATGTCAATCACAAACAGAGTGAATTTTATGGGGAACTAGTCCCCTGGCATCAGACTACGCCCACTATTAGAAGAGCAGGCTGCCTATTAGCTATGGAACCTGCCCAATGCCAATCACCAAGGGAGCAGACCTAATAAGGAATTAGTACCTGAACTTGCCCATCAGGCTCCGCCCAGTCAGTGTCATTGGTTGATAGGAGGCTGTCAGCTGCGCCATGGCCATATTTAGGTATCAACCACCATTACTGGCCCCTTTGTTTATATTCAGCTGCTGGCTGGGAAAACTTCCAGCCGGCAGCTGAATGGGGCTGGGGATGAACTACTGGATATCAACCCATGAACCTTCAGACGGGAAGCTGTTAGATTTATGACAGCTTCTCAGCATTTACATGCCCCACTCCGAGAACTGGTGTCAGTCTAAACCAGCTTAGATTTGGTCCCAATTACTGCAAATTTTCTAATCTGTAAACTGATAATCCTTTTTTAATCTGTCACAGCATTGGCAATAGGTTCTTAAAGTGGCACTATCAAGAACTACCTGAATCTATCATAAGTGTTGGAAATGCTACCGAAACTGGCGAAATTTACCTTTTTAAAAAGGTCCATACTGCCAGAAAAGTCTTTATTAAATCCCCACCACCAATATGACTAGGCAAATCTAAATTTCACAGTCACACTGAATGGCATCCAGGATGCTTGCCAAGTGGACAACTTTGGGCTGGAAATGCGCACAAGCCTACCTTCTACGAATAAGCAAAGTTGTTGTACAACTTAAACAACTCATAGTATATTATCTATAGTGCCGTATAGAAGCTGGAAATAAAGTAGTCTGCAGTAGGTGAAGGAGGAACGGGCAAACCACAATAGTATTTTAGCTATGTAACCTGCACGCTTTTGCAATTAGACTCCTGAAACCCACTAGACACTGTGACCTTTGGGAAAGGAGGATAGAGATTTCCCCCAATGCCAAGATTGGCAGTTAAGGAACCTAATACTATGCAGATTTGCTTGGCACACAACATACAGCAGGTTTCTACCAAGTGTAGCAGGATCCAAGGCCTTTACATTAGTTACTCAGATTTAAAGTTGTTCTGGGGCATTACTGCATTTTTGAGATATTCCATTTATATTTACATCACAGCCTAGGTTGCAAAATAATGTGAAGCCCCTGGGGTTTGCAGCAACCAAGTGAATATTGGCTAGGCCTGAGGCCCTTTGGTTTCCATGATCGAATGATAAACTGAACGTGCCCCCACTCCTCAGTTAGCTGGAGGCGAGTGGCTTTAGCCCTGTCCGGTAGCCACACAGACAGCTGGCAGGCTGTGATCATCAGGTCCAGCGGTTTCTTTTAATTTAATGGGATAGTTGAGCAAATGCGGTTAAGTCCCAGAATGTCCTCTTTTGGGAGAGAACCCTCAGCATTGTTAGGCAAGCACAGCAACTTTCTATGAAGGTCAGGCTGCATATGGCTTTTACTTGTACAATGCATTCACAACACAGGGAAGCTACTTTAAACTTTGCTTAACTACAAAGTACAATATTAATTAGTTTCATACAAACGACTGCATTTTAACTGAACCCAATTGTCTGTCCTGAACAGAAGAGAGCGAAGAACACACCAATGCTTTGCCCAACTCCCAGGAATGCAGGTGCTGCAAAGTCATTAGTTTGAAAACGATTCTGCTTTAAATACATTGGGGGAAATCAAAACTGGAGCAGAGAAAATCTGGAGCAGATTTCCACTGCAACCAATTAGCTTCTCTGTCTCATTTTCAAATCTTATCTGAGCAAACTGAAGAGAGATGCTGATTGGTTACTATGGGTAACTGCTACAGATTCTGTCTGCTCCAGTTTTGATAAATTACCCCCATAATATTCTGCCCTGTTAGGGACAAAACCAAAGCCCAACTTTTTTGATACTGTGGTTAAGGGCTCGTTCACACCAACAGCACTGGAGTTCATTGCCCACGGCAATCCCAACACAAGGACGAGGGAAATCGCAATATTTCGTATTGTTTTGCTTCACAACAGTGTACTGCGTTTATGTGCTCTGAGAAAAATTGGACGGACACATTCACACCACACGCAGTAATGCTCATTATGTGCATTGGGGCGCTGCCATTCATTTTAAACTGCACCCCAATGCACGTTGTCTTGAGCAATGCGCAGCGCAAACAAACCGCCTGCCTTACACTGTTGTGCACTGAGGTGTGTTCCAGACCATTTATATTGAGAGGGCTTTTTAGAG